GTCCAATTGGCGTGTTGTGTTGAAAAAATGACTGTACTTATGGCAAAATGAACCCAAAATTTCTGACTTCTGATTGAGCAATAAATAATAGTTAAAATGCACCAGAATGCAGTATTATACATACAGTTTTAAAAAATTTTCCACATCGTGGGAGGGGGAAACCCCCTCCAACACCCTCCCCCCTCGTGTCCACTTACTGCCCCCCCCTGGAATTTTGCTCAGGCTACGGCCCTGATATGCTGTAATTACGCTGTCCTTCATCTCTTGCGTTAGTCTACATTTTGCTGGGAATTTAAAAATCTGTGCGTACAATTTTTTAAGGTCTGGTTACGCCCCTGTTAAGTTATTAATGGAATATATTAATTTTTTTCGACATCCATATTAATCAAGTTCTATTTGCAAGGGGTCATCAATATTGCCCTTCCTGATCCCTAATTTGTATATGTCTTTCAGCTAATCAGCTCTCTTTTGAATGAGACCATATTGAATTATAATAGAACCCAAATTATATGGCACAGTTTAACATCGTAACTGGATTGATGAATTACTATTAATTCTTGATGTTTGGATCAGCGAAACACCTGATTATATGATGTTTTTTTTTTTTTTTTTGCATGAACAGAAATCATTACCTTCACATTCTTTAAGGTATTATATAGCACCTATACTCAAAACAAAATTTGTGCAAGGTCTGCATGGAAAAATTGCCAGACCTTGAAACAAAGAGACTACTATATTTTACTTGTGACAGTAAAATATCAGAAAATTACACAAAAAAATTTATAGATTGTACCTTTTTTAAATAAATTTGGATAGGGTACACCTTGAAAATGAAGTGAAAATTGCTGAAATTTCCAGGTAAATTAATAAATTTTTCCTGAAAATATAGATGTCTCACATGCTTTGCATGCCTTTAAAAAAGACAACTGTGGTCTACATTGATTCCGGGATAAAATGGTGGTTATAAAGAGAAAGATATTTTTATGGAATACTTTACAATATCCTTTTTAACAACAATGTAGAAATCATAATTGGATCAGTTTACATTAGATAGTGCCTGTATATTTTTTAATGGATCCCTGGATATTACTTCATTTTTATCTGTTTAGTGTGTGTGTGTGTGTGTGTGTGAATATGTATATTAGACAGCTTTGCTGACTCATTTCAGCCTAAATTTTTGATGAATAGTCCAAGAGTAATCAAATTTCTGTAAGTAACTTGTTATTAGTCTGAAATATTCATTAGGATTCTTGATGAAATTTTGTCTCTCTGGATAATAAATATGTTACATACTATAAATTGTCATGTGATTGATATAAAAATTAATCTCACATGATGTGCAAGTCTTGCAGGATAAAAAAAAAATAATGTGGTTGACACAGTCTGGCTAGGATTTAAACACTAGACTGTAAGTTTACACCCTGGATAATTTTATGATGATTAATGTAACTACTAAAAAATAAATGATTTATGTTTCAGATAGATGAAAAGTCCATTGGTTTTTGAAACAGGTGGTATTAAAAGAGCTTTATGCATCTACTAGTAATATTTAGTCTCTCCATATTTGGCCTTAAAGATTCTTTGAAATTCCTGGTAATGCTTCTACTGGATATATTGTCTTTTATTTGAAAAAAGAACTGGATATGTATGACATTATGAGACATCCATGTTTTGCTTGTTACAGAAGTCATAGTCCAAGACAACAATCACCTTTGATTTCTTAGAAATGGCAATCAATTAGTCTTTGACCACATTTCATATTACGTTCAGTCTCTTTTGTCAGTAGTGTTAACCCTTACTTTAAGCAACTGTCTGTCCATTTTTTTTTTATCTAGCATCCTTCATTTCACATCCATTCTGGTTATTATTATATAAAGAATTTGCAGCCAGGGTATCCCTGGTGTGGATTGGGTTATGCATTGGATTAAATTCCAGGGACTTTGAATGTGGTTATCCATTTTACAAGGTCTGATGTATCACTCAGTTTGTTCCTATGATTATAGCATTAATGTCCATGGTTTTTAATGTAAAGGATTTGTCTTTGAAGGATTTGTCTTTAACGCCTTGATAGTCTGTTTCAAGAAAGGTCATCATTTAAAAAAATGCAGTGTACTGGCAAGTTTTGCATGGAGTTTTGAGATGAGGACTTGTGTACTGACTTAAAAAAAGCCTGCAGTGGTATGTTGTTCTATTAAATGCAATGCACTATATTTAATGCAATATCAGTAAACAGTACTGAACTATTTTTCAAAGAAATATTTGAAGTAAAGGCATTTTTCACCTGTGGTGTGTGTTGTATGCTATGACTCTGAGGACAAGCAGTTAAGTGTTGCAGTACATTACATTTCCCCAAGGCCAGGGCACATCAGAGGTTTCTCTTTTCTTCATTTACTGGTGTTGGAATTGCTTGCTATCTTAATAATTGGTCTTAGGATTATATTCCTTAAGAAGCCTGATCTAGTCAGCTTTCAAAGTTCAATCTAATGATGCAATGCCTATGCCCCCTACCAGGGCCACAGATTGATTTTTCACTAGATATTCACAGATATGTCCCTGGTTAAATTCATGGTTATTCTCTGTACTGTGACTCTGTAATGAAATCGCATGGATAATTACGTGGCTGGTAATTGTTTGCATAACTATTCAGGCACTGCCACCTAACCATGCAGTCCCTGCCAATTAAATCCCCCTGACAGCAATCAAGACAGTTAATTGCTCTTCTGTAACAACAAAAATAGCCACTTATGAATAGCTTGTAACTTCAGGGTATTCCTTCAAACCACTGTGACCAGTTTCAGCAGACAGACAAGAAAGACAGGTTGCATAACGAGAGTTAATCACATGGGAGCGAACCCCAGCTCCCACTGAGCTCCTGCAGAGCGAGCACAATACCATCTGCACGCACGTGCAGATTTAATTGCTTACAAGGTCGCCTCGGCTTAAATGTCCACATAATAATAACTGCGGCTCTGGTACAATGCCTATAATAGCACAGGATGTTAACCTTTTTCGTTCTAAGATTCTTTTAAGTGAGGTTTTCAGTAGTGTTTATATATATATATATATATATATATATATATATATATATATATATATATATATATATATAAGTGAAAATGATTACATGCTAAAATGTTTTTCTCTCTTAGTCGTGACAAATCTTTCTCAAAGGGAATGAACCTTATATACAAAGAGCTGCATAACTTGTCTCACATTGAAGTCTGAGTATTATGTTCAGGAAAAAGGCTGCTTTAAGGAAGGTTTACATTAAAATGTTTTGGTTTTCAACACGGGATGTAATAACGTTCAACTGCAACATGTATCATCACACTGTAGACTGTGGTCTGTAGGTTTAACTTCTATACTTGAAAGCTAAGGGTCAGCAGTGCTAAGGATGTTTTAGGAATAAGTAGATTTGGCGAGAGGGTTGAGGTGGGTGCAGTCTAAAATCAAGTATCTATATCACAAACTTGGAACATAAACATTTTGTTAAAACTTCTCTGAACGCAATCACAATACATGCCATCATGCCACCACGCAATTTACTGGTTCATATGAGAAAACTCCAGTGTAGAAGCTAAAGAGGATGTTTTATTTAGTAAATGACTGGCAAATGCATTGGTTGCAGGCCATGTGTTTTTCTTGATTGCTTCTTTCTTTTTTGCAAAACAAAAAAAGAGCTTGGTAAGTGCCCTTGTTTGAAATTGAAGAGCACTGAAGGTAAGGCACTGAGCTTCTGATTTAACTGTAGATTTATCAGTGCAGCTTCACCACTTGTTTTGTTAATTAAGCGGGAATATCTTTAAAACATGACTGTCTAGGTCTACACCATTTTTAGGCCACTTATCCAAATTTGAATGAAACTTATGGATAATTCATTGTTTAAATAACGTGGAAGAAGTACAATTCTTGTGTGAATGGAAGTGGAAATTTCAGTCTTGTAGGGTAAATTATTGTGTTATCAAAGTTCATTTTTCATGAATTTCATCACATATATTGGGATGTTTTTGTTTTAGTTGTCACGGTTGCAGTTCTATGTAAAGGAGGCAATTAATCAGTGTTAAAAAGGAAAATTTTGATTGCTTAGGAAATACACCTGCAATATTGAAAACATTTGACAATTGTAATGGTGAGATTTTTCTGTTGATGTTAACAGTTTCATTTGCTGTATGCTTGCAAATAGAGTTTCAATTTTATCAGTAGCTACTGCTGACATTCGGACTTTATCAGGGAAAATAGGGCTGTGATAGGTATTGTATTTTTTCTTTAGCTATTGACAAATGAAACTTTGTTTGTTAATTGAGATTTCTCTGAGTTTTATTTAAATAGTTAAAGAAATAAATGGTCTAACTCTTGAAAAAACAAAGATATTGTATGAATGAAAAGAAAATGACATTGACATTTGTCAGTAAAGGCACACAATTAGTGTTAGAATTTCAATATCTAGCAAAAAATTTTTTTTTTCAAAAATCCACTATTCCCTTATCACCAAGGTACATACCATAGACAAGACTTATCATATACAGACTGTACTAGTATATTTTAAGCCCTTTTTTGCAAGTTTTTAGCCTTTGATTCACTCAAATTAGAGAATTTGAAGGCAACTTTTTAATGTCACTTATGATAGTATAAATGATACATTTAGTATTTGAAAATGAGTTTATAGATCATAAATTTCTGTATATACCTTTTTTGGTTAGACTACACACCTTAAAGTGCTATAGAGGAAACTGCTGAAATTTTCAAGAAAAAAATAATCTTTGTATTATGTACATGTATAGGAAGAGCAATGGTAATGAGATCAAAACCTGATTTAACAAAGTATTGGGCACTTATGTATAGATTTTTATATTACGTGTTGTGAACAATTCACTGTATATTCCATTCTAAGAACAGTTGCTAATAGAAGCACTCAATTAAACTGACATTCACCGTTCTCTGATATAAACTTGAACGCTGTCAGGTTAAGACATCTGAAAGTTTTCCTCTTGTTCTTGCAGGGATAGTATGTTTGGAGAAGAAGAAGATGCCAAAGATAACATTAAAAGGTAATAGGTCAAAAATAACAAAATTAGTCAGAATTAGTTAGGTGCAAAATATGCTAATCATGATCTATTCATATCCATATTTATTCTGAAATGTTAAGTTTTGTTTGAATGGCAAAGTAATTTTAAATAGGTATAAATATATACCTGTGAACAGTGTTGTTAATGTAACAGGATCTCTACTGAAAGTACTGGAGGTAACTTAGAATTGAGCTGGGACTGCTGATTCTGTTGAGCTAAATGGGGATCTGTGGATCTGTCAGTCGGCTGTTCTGAATGCGCTTAAAGAAATATATGTATTTCAGGCCTACCCAACTACCAGACTCGGCACCGAATGATCCTGAATTCACCGGTAGATCAGACCATACTACCCGTTTTCAAGGTGTGTGTCAGATCGCATTACACAGTATCAGACGCGACACCGCTCTTGCCTAGTACACGATGTGATAGTGACGATTCTCAGCGGGGTTGAAACGCATTGCATCACCACTCAAAATTTGTTCAGGGTATGATACTGTGTAATGCGATCTGACACACACTTTGAAAACGGGTAGTGTGGTCTGATCTACCGGTGAATTCAGGATCATTCGGTGCCAAGTCTGGTAGTTGGGTAGGCCTGTATTTGAAAGACCAAAAACCAGCATGTTAAAGAAATGATATGGATCCATCATGTTAATGGCTATGCCTATGTTTTATTGGCTGCCAGTAATACCCTATGATTTAAATTCTATTCTTGTCCAGATAGTAAAATTGGAATATAGAAATCAATTTAGTGTATTGTTAAAAGCAGTGACATTTCTCCGCACTTAAGGTTGATTGAGGAAGTGAAGTGAACTGTTTTGTATAAAAAGTAGTCGACCTTATTAAGGAAGGAAAAAGATCCTAGAATAAATTTGAAATGATTTTGTTTTCCTTTCTTCCTAGAAAATCACGCAACCTCAGTGAGAAGAAAAGACGCGACCAGTTTAATGTGCTGGTCAGCGATCTTTGTAACATGGTGTCCAAGGGAAACCGCCGCATGGATAAATCTTCAGTATTAAAGTCAACTATCGCCTACCTGAAAACACACAATGGTCAGTTAGAGTATTTCTCAACCACAAATAAAATGAAAATAAATTAATTAATTATTAAAGAAAAGGAAAAAGAAAGAAAAAGAACTGAATTCTTTGGAGTTTTTTAAAATTCTGACAAGTATTCATATATTGCAGTTGAACCTGGAATAAACTGTGTTTGCCTACAGTTTGTAATCTCCAGGTCTTGCCAAGCCTTATAACTACCATCCGCTAATTTGTTTAGTTGGTAACTAAGTGGGCTTTTTTTCTCCATTTAAGAAAGTATTACTCAGTCCCAGCAGCATGAAATACATGACGACTGGAAGCCACATTTCCTGACAAACAATGAATTCACACAACTGATGTTAGAGGTAAGTATATCACAAATGAATTTTTGATTTTAAGTTTGCATACTGAAAGATGAGGCAGTCTTTGAAACTAAACTAAAAATGCCCTTTCATGTAAAATTAGTCACTTTCATTTGGCAAAGGGAGTTGTTACTTTTATGTGTTTAGTAATTCTTTATGAGTGAGTAGAGGATTTAAGAATCAGTAGATCTTCAGTTTGGATCAGGAAATGCCCCCACATTCGACACATCCAAGAATCACTTTTCCCCCAAATTATGAAAACAAGCTGAACTCCCTGTGGTGTACTGGAACAGTGTGCATTGCTTTAGTAATTGGGGGGGGGGGGGGGGGGGTTGTTAACTCCAGTCAACTTGACCTTTGTGATTGTGTTAGGTGTCTGTTGTGAATGTTCATTGTTTGCTGTGGTTGTTGTTGTTTGTTTGTTCCTCAGTGGATGCATTGCCCAGCAAGTGCAATGATTACCCATAGTAATACTTGTATGATCAACCCCACATTATTACAATAATGGGAAAACAAAGTAGACTCTTTAATGATTTTTGTTTTTGCATTATTAAATAGTTGTCCCCCTTATTTTATACTAAAGTGGTCTAATGGTCTTTTTACATGAAGCACAGCCAAGCAGGTGTACAGTAGTTTTAATCTTCTTTTTAATCCTTGAACATTCTGCAAATTGATGCCATATTTGCATCAAATTTTGTCAGGTATTGACCTTTAGCTTATTGTATTTTCAAAATATCCATTTGTTCATGTCATTTTTGTTTCTGTCTCTTATGCTGTCACAATTGCCATACAACACTTACACATGTGCATGTAAATTAAATGTTGTGGTAACGATGAGAAACAATTTGCCTTCTTTATACCAATCAACATATAGGTTTTCTGGTTTAATTTTGATTTTAATTATGCACAAAATTTTTCTCAGGCCACAGACGGTTTCCTTTTGGTGCTCACACAGGCAGGGAATATACTATACTCTTCAGAAAGTGTAACTTCGCTTCTTGGACATTTGCCTGTAAGTGGAAAATAGAGCAATTGACATGTAGTTTATCTTCTTGTAATTAAATCTGCTGTGGATAGAATTTTGAATAATATGACGTTAATTTCTCTAGAGTAAAAGTCACTGGCCCACACAGGTGGTTGAAATATTTAAAGTTGTTTCTCCTTCATATTTTGGAGGAATTAGGTGATTTGTCTGTTATGTGATTTGAGCTTTGAGTCCATGATAATTGCCTATTTGGATATTACTACCTATGAGAAGTTATTTATAAAGATGAGAGTGACTTAATTTTTCTCTTTCTAGGTGGATTTAGTCAATCGTCTAGTATATGATTTTATTCTTGAATCAGAGCGAGTTGATCTCCATACATTACTGTCATCCCACCAACTAGAAACTTATAACAGCAGGACTGATTTAGATGCAGGTTTGTTTACTGTAAAAAATGCCTTAAATGATAAAAGTGGTTCATTGGCTAACATTCTTAAAGGATTTAATCTGTTGACATCCGTCCAGCATACAGAAATTAGAGTTGAATAAATTGCATGAATTATGTATAAAATTGTCTTATTTCAGACGAAAATCAGCTTTCCTTTTCATGTCATATGAGAAGGGGCTCAACGAGTCCTGATAGCGTACCACAATATGAACTAGTCAAAGTCATAGGAAATTTTAGAAAATGGAGCACAAGTATAGGTATTGTATCTGTATATCCATTTAATCATTCCAAATCATTTACTTTGTGCATTGAAAAGCCCTTTAATATATTTTTGATGTTACTTACCTAGATGCTTTCAGAATGAGTTATAATTTACTTGGGAGATACATTGCTTTAAGAAAAACCCCTAATAGTAATAAATTTGTTTTGTAAATAATAATATGAAACAAATCTGTGTCTGACAAGTGGTTTTAATCAGAATCATCTTGTCATGTTTTTTTTTTTTTTCAATAAATGAATATAATACTACATGTAAACCTTTATTTTTTCCTTTATATTTTAGTTAATATAGAATCTGAAGATGGCTTCCAAGACAATGGTGATGATTTAGAAACAGTTTGTTTTTGCTGCACAGTGCGGCTGCAGCATCCATTGTTCTATAGGGAAATGACATATGTCAATGAAAGTAAAAGTGAATTCACATCAAGACACAGTTTAGAGTGGAAATTTCTTTTTCTGGACCATAGGTTAGTTCAACATTACTTTGAATCTCAATTTTAGGTTGTAATTTATTCTCACTCTTGATGAGAAAGGCAGTTTTTATTAATCTGAACATGATATGGGTGAACCTGCAGTTGATTCCTTTAGAATTTTTTAATTTATTTATTAAAATTAACAATTATAACAAACCATTCATGCAAAGCAAGATACATTGTCATAATGTTCTGTTTATTTTTTCAGGGGACCACCCATAATAGGCTACATGCCTTTTGAGGTATTGGGGACTTCAGGGTACGACTACTTTCATCCAGAAGATTTACAGAAGATAGCTAGATCACATGAACAGCGTAAGTACACAACATTTAAGATGGCCTTGTCGGTAGAATTTTAAGAAGGGGCAACAATGCTGAAAGTTCATTTGATAGGTCATTTCATAGATGATGGGCCACCAACTTATAGATATTTATGAAAGGAAGTAGAATTGAATGTGAAGTCAGCTTGCATAAGTTAGTAAAAACACACTGAATGTTGTTTTGTCATCAAAAATATACATATATTAGATATTGGGTCAAGATTGAAAATGTATCAAGAAGGATGAAGGACAAGAAATCTTCTGCTTCAAGTCCTCTTATTATACTTTTGCATTTAAATTTCAGTAATGAAAACCGGTGAGGGGACATCTTGTTACTACAGATTCTTGACCAAGGGCCAGCAGTGGATCTGGCTACAGACCAAGCAGTATATTACCTATCACCAGTGGAACTCAAAGCCTGAGTTTGTGGTCTGTGTTAACACCGTAGTCAGGTAAGGACATATAGACTGTACATGAACAAGGGTATAAAAATTTAATGATAGTTAATAAACACTAAGTTAACCCGTCACAGCTTGGATTGACATGGCTAGTGAAGTCCAGAAGACCCAATGTCTGTCTTTTAGAATAAAAAGGCAAATTCTAAATTCATCACCAGCCTTTGAAAACCTTCACAGCCAACCTTTGCAAACATCTTAATTGATGCCTATATCTAATGTGTAATAATATACTTTAAATTCAGTTATAAAGAGGTACGAGCCAGCTTGAAGAAAGCCATGGGCTGCCCTGAAGACAAGGTGGACAGCATGGACTCCTCCCCAGTAGCAGGTTAGTGATCAAGTCATGATTTCTAATTCTGGGTTTGTCATTTACCTGAAAGAAAACACTTTGTATGCATTTTTCATTATACGGCCATGTCAAGACAACTCCATCACTAACATATAATGCTTGAGATAAAAATGCCTTGTTTTTGTGTACATGGGGAAGGATTTTTAGTAAATTTTCTATTGAAATTCAGCGACAATTCTGAACATTATTTTCAGAAAACATTCTCCAAATGAAGGGATGTACCCTCTTCACGTCTCATGTTATATTCATTATTTTTATCATTCTTTATTATAATAGTAAATACTTATATTCTGCACTCATTAGGTCCTTTCTCTGACTATGAGCACACTCCATCCGTGTCTGACATGGACGAGACGCACAGTGATTTTTCTTCTGCATCTCAACATAATGGTGCTGTCATCATGTCACCCATAAAGCCAAGAATCTCTCAGCATTTTCAAGGTCTCAAGGAGCTGTTGGAGCAGAATCCCAGCAGCAGTACTGGACAGAATGGTGTGCCAAGCAGCAGCCGAGGTGGAGTCAGTAAACATTTATTCAAAAACTTGCCTGTGAGTAAATTATGGTGCTAGATATTATGAGACAGGTTTGACTCTGTTTGGAATACGTGCATGTTTGGTGTTTCATGTTAATTTTAATAAATGTATTATTGAAGAAACTGCTTAAAAATTATTGATGGCTCACTACCTGTTTGAATGAATGAATAAATGAGGGAAGCAAGTAAGAATGGAAGGAGGGAAGAAAGTAGGAATAGGCTGACAAAATACAAAACAGTGGTGAAGAAAATAACAGCCAGTGTAAGATGGCTGAAACAACAATCAAGGATTTTTTAAAAACCTATAGTGGCTTTTTTTTTTCAATATTATTTTCTTGTACTATTTTCAGTAATTATTACACACTTTCCATTCATTATTTCAGAGTGCCAGTGGTCCCAGTTCCACACGGACATCCAGCACCAGTGCGGCTGGCACCAGCTCCTCTCCCCCAGCCACTGCAACTGTATCCAGCACTGTGTCCAGCTCTGCTGGGCTGCAGAACAACTTGCTAGATCAGGTACAAGACTATTTGTTTTGTACACAAATACCAGTACAGTATTTGTTCACAGATACTGTACAAGTGCAAATGAATCACTTATCACCAGTACAAGTACTGCAATACATATACTTTTTTATGACAGTATACTATATGTCTGGATAAAACAAGACTAAGGGCTCTCGTCCTCAATGAAACTATTGGTCTATGTAGATCGATCCAACTCTGTTGGGACTCATTGAATGCAATCAAATTAACATGTTTACACTCCCTTTCATTTCTAACCTACTGGTGTAATCACCAGCTTATATCTGAATTTTACTCAATGCCAGAAGAAGGAAGTGACATCACGGAGAGTTTTAAGCTCTAATAAATTATAAATAAGTCCTTGTAATGGTAGTGATATTGGCAGTTGTCATTGTTATAGCAGTTTATATCAATAATTCTAGTCAATTTTTTAATAGCTCAATAGTTACTAGCTAACTGTATGTCTACCAGAATGAAACAAATCAGTTAATAAAAATATCACTTCTGTTTCAGCTTGGACAACAGCAGATAGTACTTACGCCAGCGCAGAAGCAGCTCCAGCTCCAATTGTTACAAAAACACCGCCACCTTCAGCAGATGATCACACAGCAGCAGGAGCAGCTGCACCTTATAGCACAGCAGTTGTTGTGGACCCAGCAGCAGATGACCAGTATTGGGAACTCCAATATCAGTAAGCTTGACGTAAACCCTGAAGATAAAAAGTTTTTTTTTTTTTCAATCTTTTGCACATTAATGGTCAGCTTGACAGAGGATATTAGGTCTGTTAAAAAAGGGGTTATCTTGGTCTACTATAGCTTTTTGTAACATATTTGATCTTCAAGGTATGATGAATTTTGTACTGGAGTTGTATTTTTGCAAGTTGCCCTGGCACTCGTCTTGTCAGCTGGCTGTGGTAGAATGTGCCCCTTATGTTGCCAACATTTTGACAACTTTTTAAAACACTATTCCTCAAATCCGTCAGCTCTGTTTGATTCTATATTTTAAGATAACCTCAGTCTGTGCCACATTGTATTTTAAGATGCCGACCAGCCTCAGGACCAGATAGACATATCTCCACAGCAACAGCCAGTAGAGGACAGCAGTGAGCCCACAACTTCACAGGCCTCTGCTCAGGCATCTGCTCAAGGATCATCACACTCTCCTGGCCAGTCATCCCAGCCATCTCAGCCATCTCAGCCACAACAACAGCAACAACAGCCAGTCCATCAGTCTGTCATCACCTCTAGTAATATGAGTCCCATGTCACTGTACTCTGACTTCAGTCCCTGCGTGACCACAGCTAGCACTGTGGCAGATTTTAACAGCACCAACTCTTGCACTACCAGTGATATTAGACTCAATGAGCAGTTGTTGCAGTTACAATTGCTACAGCAGCAGTTGTTACTGCAGCATCAGGTCCAGGCAATGCCAAATTTCCAGTCGTTATTATTCTCCCAAGACCTGCTGATGGACGACCAGATGCTGACTAATAATATGCCAATGAATGGGCAGATGCTGAGTCAGGACCTGGGGACAGGGTTGGTGGGACAGATGCTTACACAGGATGATTCAATGATGCTTCAGGATTTACAGGGATCTTTCAGGGTGGATGGAGGGTTTAGAACCCCCATTTCTCCAATGAGCCAACAACAACAACAACAACAACAACAGCAGCAACAACAACAACAACAACAACAACAACAACAACAACAACAACAACAGCAACAACAACAACAACAGCAGCAACAACAAAATGTTGCAGTGTCCCAGAATCAGGTTCAGCAACCACATTTGGGTCAAGGTCACATATCAGGGTCACAGACAATGATGTCAGGTAACATGGCCTCCCCACATGTCCACCTGTCATCTGTGTCTCCTCATTTACAAGTGAACAATGGCGGGATGCTGTTGCCCCCCAGTGGTAGTTCTGTGCATTCACGGCAACAAAGACTACACTCCGTGAGTTCATTAGGATTACAGTTGTCCTCATCACAACAGCCTAGATCCTCCTGCTCTCAAAACTACTATCATCCGCCCAGTAGTAATTCCAGTGACCTGACATGAACACGTGTTGCAATAATAAATGTCAAAATAGCACATAATATTAAAAAAAGAGATCTATATATTATCTACATATACAAGTATATATATACATATATACACATATATCATACATATATATTGTTATTGAATCATGTGAAAATATATTTTGCTACACTGATAATATTGTTATGAAAATTGTATGAAAGTGATATGTGTATATTTTCTTTAGATTTTGTATGGAAATTTAGTGCTGGTTGATTTCCTGTGATTGTTGTTTTGACTGTAGCTTGCTAGTTTTCACTTCTCTTTCCTGTATTTCTTTATGCATCAATGTTTCACGTTCGAGTTTTAAAGTAGAACTCTGCTGGACTCCTCTCTTAGGTTGATTGATTTTCTGACCTAAATGAAATGTAAGAGCACATTTAAGTGAGTAGTATTTAAGTGAGTAGTATTTATTGTATTTTTATGTAGATCATGTTGTCTTCCCATTGCTGACTTCATCATGTACAAGCTGTGACTGCACTTTATGAGTTATGTTTTAGTCATTATATAAATGTTTCACTGCATATTAACAAATTCCGAATTTTTTCTTTGAAAATTCCAAGGTTGTAAGGAAGCGCACAAAAATTATATATTTGAATGAGTATTTTTCAATGCAGTTTCGTCTTTTTTACAGAAAGACCTTCCACCAAGCTTTGTGAAAGTGAGTTGACTAAGAACTATGAACACTGCACCCCCATTTTTGTATTTATTATGATATTTATTACCCAAATTACCAACTCTTGAATATTCTACCTCGACTGAAACGCAGTAGGCTGCATCTTTTGGATACTTTCTGGGTATATGCCTGTGTATGTGTGCCTACACACAGGCACGCACAGGCACACGCACGCATTCTGTTTGTAAGTTCATTTTAAATGTCATTTCTGAGAAAGAAAAAAAATGATTAAGACCTTTTTGAATGTATATCTCACTGAAGAATCCCACTTTTTTATGTTAGTGGAAATTTCAATTCACGAAAAAGGAGCAGGTTCAAAATTTGTGCTTTTAAAAAAAGTATTTCTGTTGAGAATGGATTAATCAGAGTTTTATCTATTTATTTGTTTATTTATTTATTTATTTTCAAACAAAGTGATTCTCCTCCTTGCTTGTTTACCATCTAAAATATAGCCATCTTTATGTGGATAGATTCTACTTGCTCAAGTTGTTAAAGCAAAATGTGATGGTTAAGTTTGATACTGACAAGATTTTTTACATGGTAAGACAGTGTGGCCTTAAAAATGAACACAACTCAATGTGATGACTGTGATAATGTTATCACAAGAATTGGAGATTTTAGAATGGAGTATTGGTAATATTTCCCCAACACAAGAATACAGGTAATTTAAAACTTTAAGAGAGTTTAGTTTAAAGCATTTATTAAGTACTGACCCCAACTTGAGGAAAGCACAGTGTAGTTTTAAAAGGCCAATTTTATCTATTTTTAATCCAAGTTTCTGTACTAAAAATCATGCTAACCTTTGCCCAGGTAATTATGTAATTATCAAAAATCTCTCTCAAAAAAGTAGTAAATACAAAATTTTCAGTCGGGGACAAAACTGCAGGTAGATTAAACATTAACATAAAATGCCCTTGATAAAACAGTATTACTTGAATCAAATCATAGACAGGGACAAGCTTTATATATAGTTTTAATTTAATAGTATAGTTATTATGATTAAAGTTAGTTGTCATCATGCATTTTATTTAAGCCAATTAAAAAAGTATAATATTATAATAAATGAAAGATAATTCTTAAATCGTTTTAGGTATTATTATTACATGTGGAGGTCTTTTCCGTGATTTGGACATGATTTTGTTGTTGACAGTTGAGCTGGGAAAGAGTGATAGATGTTAATGTTTGACATATGTTAAAGAAGTATTTTAAGCACAATATTACATATATTATCAATTTTAAAGAATAGTGGAATAAAAAATTAAAATGGTTAAATATAGATATTTGATATGAAATCCTAGGCAAATGAAAAAAACGGGTAGGTAAACAATTGAAAGAACAAACTTGCATAACTATTATTAATGAGTATAGTTTAAAATCATCATCATCAGCACATTTGGCAATTAATAATAAAATAATCATTAAATCATTGCCATTTCATTATACCATGAGCATCCATTTTAAAAAAAAACTTTTTTACAAGTAACACCTTGAAATTTTCCACTTAAAGGCTGAAATTAATCTAACCTCTTCACTAATGGTTTTCTTACATCTGCATGATGTCACTTCCTTCAAGTTGGTCACATTTGATACATCGAATTCCCAAACATTTTTAAATGATTAAAATCATTTTAAAGTGGTGGACAGGGTAAGGCAAAAAGTCCTAAATGTACATGTTTTGGATAATGGATAAATCTTTGGTGTTCACTAGCTCTGTCATTTCACCATTGACGTCATAATTGCAATATTGGGGTAAATATTGCAAAATCAGTTTTTCAAATCTCTCCTTTCCCTGAGCACCATGAATACCCCTTTAACACCCATTTATGACACCATTGAGCACTTCAAAACCCTGCCAGCTATTTTTCTTGAAAGCCCTAATTCAGATTTTATTCTTAATGAGGCAAAATAGTACTTTTTCTATGATACACTGAAATTAGGGGCTTAAAACTCCAAGACATACATGTAAACCATGATGGCACGGGATTGAAGCCCATTTGTTGTTGTGAAAAAAATTTGTTCAGCTATGGAAGTTATGTCCCATGCCAATTATTATATCTCACCCCAAAATAGAAAGCTCTTCAATTGTCCATAAATGCTCTGAGATGCTTTATATGCTGAGCAACAGAAAATATAAGCATCAATATTTGAGATTTTCCAGACATTTTTTATTGTTTTTAATAAGCAAAATGGTAGATGCATTTTTAAATGAATAATTAGATACACGAAAAAACTCACTTAAGTGTTTTGATGATCATAAATCTGTCTGTAACTTTTGTCTTCTTTTCTAGTTGCATTTAAGCATGTGTTTGGACTTGAAGTCCTTTGATGCAAACATTTTCATCTGACTAGCTGGAGTACGTAGTGGCACAAGTTCAACCTTAGGCATTATGCCATTGTTAAAGTATTGCTAGTACCACATGTAGGTGAAGTTTAAGGTGCACTTTATTGTACAAAGCACAATAAAAATGTAGCTTTTGTTTTCAAGCATTGGGGATGTTAAAGGTAAATATTTTCTGCTTTTAAAAATGTCCCAAACTCATTTTCTAAGATTACTCATCTTTCCCATTTCAGACCTTTAAAATGATAAAGTCCCTCAAAGTAAGTCACCTTTAGTACATATTTCACTCTTAAATGTACAGGAAGACACGGTAATCTAAGCGACTGGCCAGTCATTTAGAACTAGCTATAGGACACACTGAGCTAGTTTAGAACTTAGCTACTTATAAAGAAATTATATAAGACATCGAATCCAAGTTCAAGAATAGGTCTAGTAATGATTCATGAGTAGGAAAAAATTGCTTTATTATTACTTATTAATTAATTAATTTTTTTAGCAAAGTTTGATTTAGTGGGAAAATTATGGATAGGATACAACATTTGATTTAAGTTTTTTTAGTTGTATTATGAGAGGATTCCACATCAAATGTCAATAAAGAGGTTATAAAAACATGTCTTATGGTTGTTGGATATCAACTTACTTTCTATGTAAAAACAGTAGATAATGCTTTTATTTAAAATTGTTTTATTGTTCATACGTCCTTTTAAAAATTGATCTATTTAAATCTGGTTCAAAACAAAGTATGAAAGTTTGATAAACTTTGACTTAATTTTCTGTTGTAAAAGCTAGGTGATACGCCACTTAATAAAAGGTGCTCAGTGTTAAGACTTTCTAGTGAAAATCTGATATACAACAAATTTACCAGGAATAAACGTTTTCCCCTCAAATAACCAACCTTAAATCCCCCCCATCTTAGCATTTGCCACAACTCTAACAATCTGGAAAAATTTAATCGAAATTTAATAATTGATTGCCAACGTTCAAGCCAACTTCCAGGAAATTCTGACTTCTGCAAGAAATTCAAAACTAAGTCAAAGGCAATGATGATTGTATGGAGGTACTGGATTATTTTTGGCAACATTAATTCATGTCACAAAATGCTAAAAATGATTTTTTGAAAATAAACTTGATCTAAAAATTAGTTCAACATGAAACAGTTGATGTACTTTCAAGTAAAAACTGTTTTAAAATCTGATGTTTGCTGCTTTATTGTGACATCAGCATGATGTAGACCGTGTTACAAAAGACAACAATCTGATTCAGTCACATACATGTATTCTGGGCTTAGTTTTCTTTCCAAGATGAAAAAAAAAAAGAGATTTGGGATTGTGATGTTAAGACAATATTTCCAAACCTACCTTCTTGGTCTAAATGAAAAATAAATAGCTAATGAAATTAATCAGATCGGGTTTCACAAATATTATGCAAATTTTTTGTTTTGTATTTATGCAAAGTGAATCACTTTCACTCCAGGCTGCATTTTAAACTTTCACACAGATATTAAGTAACTTAATTCCTTATAATACTGGCTGCTATGCACATCAATATTGCATAAATAGGGATTATATGTTGTGGCTGGGAGTAAGACAGACTTCAATAATAATAATAATAATACTCAATTGGACAAACTTATATGTAGGTGCACCTTCACAGTTAAATCAAGAAATATTTAAAAGTAACATATGAGCATATAACAGTGACCCTGGGATCGATACAGTACTAATATTGTATGATTACAGAACATAACACAAATATATCTGCTTAAAATTACCATGAAAAATCCGGAAAAATTCAATATTCTACTCCTGCCAAGTGTGTGTCTTTTGCAGCTAATGAAATTATAAAATAAGGGTTTAACTACCAAACTGACTTTAAAGAGTTCATGAATGTTTGTGTAAGATGTCAGTATAAATGGACTGCTTGGCAATATACGTGAAACAATTTCTAATAGAAAACATACTACACAATACATCAACAGTACCAAGTCAAGTACAATAAGTATAAAAATCAGTCTTGAACTGACAAAAAAACTTCTTATTGTTTGCACTAATAATTACATCTTTGTTATTACAAAGTCATTTTTATAAAAATTTGAACATAAAGTACAAATGTAATACACTGAAAAATATGTGTGGAAATGACTAGTAATACAAAATAACACAGGCCGAGGAGGGGAGGGGATCGTCAAACAAACCACCCCTTTTGCCAGGAAAAGATCTGCTCTGGGTTAAAATTGGTGCAAGAGGGTTTCATGGTAAAAGGTCCCCTTTTTCAGAAAAAGCTCCCCCCCCCCTTTCCTTCCTTCCTTTGATATTGTTGGCTAAGGGCCTGTAACACATCATGGAAGTACAAACAATGGGACCATATAAAGCTTCAACCTTGAAGACTTCTGAAATGGCACAGTCATGAGGGTACAGTGTATGAAAGTAAAGTATCAAGCTCACAATAAATAAGTTAAAAATTGTAAATAAAAAATTTCTGAACATAAACTATTTGCAAGAAAGGTGTTTTTTTTTTTACAAACTCTTCATATAAAAAAACACTAATAATAAAATGATGGTAAATAAATAAATACTGATTTGTGCATCATTTAAAAAAAGGAATAAAACTGGGTGTTTCTTTTATCTGACATCAAATTACAATAATGAATACAACAATTCTCACTCCAGCATGGGCTGAAAGGTGAGAAAGCCGAGTATTGTTGGAGGCAGTGGCAGCTTCTTCAGGAGCGATTTTTTATGTCTGACAGATCGTATGATCACCATTCGGCAAATTTCTTGAAGGTTGATTGGCTGAGGTAATTCAAATACACACATTTTACAATACGAGTTGCTGTGACGGACATCACTGGAGACAACTGCCAGCCGTTGACTACAGGCTGAAAACATGGGTAAACATGAGCACACATGCAGGCCATTAATCACGCAATCCTGTGATGAGGTGGCCAAACGGATTAAATTGTCACTGTCGAATATGTCCACCTTTGTCACAGAAAATCTGTCCTCTGTAATGACAAGAATATAGACAACAACAAGGAAACGCCCATCAGGACTGTACATGGGAAGTCCGTACTCAAAGGCGTCTCGGGCATTGCTGACTGTTATCTGATGCAAACGCTGGTGAGATTTCAAATCCCAGAAGGCAAGATGGGTTCCTCGACAGAAGGCGAGTCGGGACCAGCCATACCTGGGGTCAAAGGCCAAGGTCCCTGGCCCCATCCAGAGATTATAAATAGGAGCACCTGTCCAATCAAATAACTCGATTATATTCAGCTTCTGTGATGTACCGACTGAGTACAGGTAGAGTTTCCAGGAGTCATGTTTCTCATACAACACACCAATCTTTGTCTTGTCGGGACTTATAACACTTTTATAGCGCACATCTATGTTATATTGTTCTGGTGCATCGAAACATGAGACTATACTCTTCTCCTTCAGGTCTACACACACGAATGTGATAATCATAGGCGGAAGTCTGAAGATGCCTATAACCACCATGTGGTCTTGGTAGCAGTAGGCGGTGTCGTCTATGTGGATGACATTCATAGCAGAGTCCTCTATTCTAGCTAGGACCTCAGGGTGTTGGTGGTAGGGGACAGGGGTGGAGGTGTGGTGGACAGCACCTCGGACATCTAGATGGTATCTGAGAATTGAGAAAAATTGAAAATATCAATTCAAAGGAAATCTATGCTTTTGATTTATCGTTCCATAATGCGGGGTCGGGGTCTATTCATGACTTTCGTCAGCATAATATTTTTTGTGTAATCAGTGCTTAAAAAAATAACTAGAAATTAGTTATTAAAAAATTTAAACTGTTAAAGGTCATTTTCAGGAAAAAAATTGACAGTAAAGTTATGCTACATGCTTCACTTTCTTTTATTTATGGAAAATTTCACAATTTGAACATAATCACAGTTTTGTCAAGAACAAAAATTATAAAATTAAAACAAAAGTTATAATAAATTATAATAAAGAAAACCAGTAAGCCATAAATTCCAGTTCTAGCATATATTATGTTACAAACATCCTAACAATGATGGCCTTAATATGAATGTCACTTTACCTCACAAACACCAAGCATTTCTTCTGTCTGTCATGTACCACACTGAGCTGCCAGCGACATAGCCTAAACCCGACCCATCTCAGACTACAGTGGTACAGAGGATAGGTACATACCACAGGGGAATCCTCAAAACCCAGTGTGCCTTATAATAAAAATTAATGATAAGAATTATGAGCAATGGTAATTTGATTTATATATTAAGATAAGCATGTTCCATTTGTTCAGCTTGGGTGATTTTTTTAAAAATTACAGTTTCAGAATTATTTTGAGGCCTAATTTTAATTATATTAAAATATACATACAACCCTAATATTATATACAGTGTACAGTATATGAAGCACACATCCACTCACACATGCATTGTGAGCTATATTTACACAGGGATTACAATAATGCAGCGCTATACAGTATAAACTTGAGTGATTTGAAATGCCTGGATTTAGCCAAGGCAAGTTTTCTTTTAAAAAAATATTTTAATTGTTAAATAAGGTTCACGTTACAACCTCTTCTTATTCAATTTTTCGACAGGCACGGAAGTAGGTATACCTGCTACGGAGGCTCTCCACTGTTCTACTAGGCAGCATTCTTTCCGTACGAGTTCTCCGGTGCTAGTTTCCATTCTCAGGAAGCCGCTTCCATCTTCTAATTCCTCGCAGTGACCTTGGTGCAGCTCAGGCTCGCTCACAATTTCACCTCCCCGGGTCCTCTGCGTCCTAGGGCTGGCACTCCTGTGTCGACGAGGACTTCTTCTCTTGTTCGGTGTAGTACAGCACAATTTCTGACCCATACTGAACCGAGCGCAGAAGGCATAATCTATAGCACTGGAGTATTTGATCTTGGACAGGTGCTCCTGCTTGCTACTCCTGCTGTTGTTTTGATCATGGCAAATTTCCACGAAAACTATCCACCGCTACTGCAGCAATAATATTTATCTACATATTGTGTTAGGTGTGATTAGAGTTGAGAAAACGCAATGCACTTGCCAGACGGATAAATGGTTTGCAACAGATTTTAATAATTAAAATTTACATTAAAATTGTCTTGACTGGAAAGTTTTTCTTTTCAACCAATAAAATATCTTTGCCCAGTACTTTTTTTTGTCAAAAGAGAAATGCATTAAAAATTCTGTAAATAGAGGCAACTTCTTTGTTGTATGAATATAGATCTATATCCTTATAAATATATTAATATAACTGAAACCTTAAGATTGATAACATACCAAGTACAAAATACTGCAGGGTTCTGGAATCCTCGCAAGGTATTATTAATAATTCATTATACATGATCAGCCTTTATTTATTATTATTTTTTATTTATTTATTTATTTATTTTTTGTAAATTTTACTTGTACTCTTTTTATGATACATATTCATCATGGTACACTACAGTAATGTTACTAGTAGTAATTTTTACTAAGGTCAAAATAAGTAACATGAATTGAGTGATGTCATCAGATCAAGAACTTTTTTTTTTTTTTTTTTTTTTTGTAACAACCATCTGGGAGCTTTAATAAATCAAATGCAACACAATCTCACAATAATATTGTCATACTGAATTTATTCTGGTCTTTCTAGTACATTAGCATCTGGCAGTAACAACACAGACAACCTTTCGGAATGTTGGGTAGGCATTGGAGAAGGCTTATCTTACGGTAGCAAATGTAATTACAGCTGCACAGCTTTAAAAAGCTGTAGTCAATAACTGCTGCAATGGGCTGTACTTTGTAGCAGAGTGAGGTTGTTTATACATTCAGAAAGTTTCTTGCAAAAATTGTGACAACTGAACATCATGACACTTCACAACTGAAATGGATTAATCTAAAAAAAGTGGGCTTGATAGTGAACCATATTATTTCTTCACTGCTAAGAGATGCTCCCTGTACAGAGCAAAGCCCTTGTTTTCTCTGTCAAGATAACCACATTGTGTGTGTATATATATATATATATATATATATATATATATATATATATATATATATATATATATAAAGAGATCCCGTTTTTGTCTCCTGTAAGAAGCCATTGACAGTGTGGAGATTATGCTGTTGTGTTAAACACAAATGGTCAGCCCATTGGTCAGCTACATAATGGTATTGGTAATAAATAATGACAGATGTATCATGTGTTAGCCTTGATGCTTTTTCTAAACAAACCTTGCCTGGAGAGGCTTCCAAGAGAAACGAAGAGTTATTCTAAGCCCACGAGACCCCTCCCCGAGAGAACTGCTCCCAAACTAATCAAGTAATGATGGCCATCAGCTCACATATTGTTAAACACCTTGAGTCTACTTGCCAGGGATTTTGTCAATACAGTGAACTGATGGCCAGCGATGTCAGATATATTGCACAACCTCTTATCCAAAGGTTTCCTGCAGCACAGACACTGCCCTCATCTTTCACATACAGTTTGTGAAGTGTTCTCAGTAAATAAGATGCATGTAATACTATGTGCAATGCGTCTACCATAAATATACTTTTACTGCACAACATTTAAACAGTTTTTGTTCTTTTATTCTAGCCTTTATCTATATGTACATCCAGTCAGTGGATTAGCTCTCACAATTGTTTGAAGTTGATGACCCATCATCACAAGCTGTATCTCCTAATTAACTACAAAACAGCTACTTACAAGAAATATATTACACACAACATTGCTTTGCCAGACATAGGTGACACTCATTCATATCAAGCTAGTCAGTATTTCAGTTATCAAAGTCATGAGTTTTGGTTCATTTTTTTTCTCTTTGAAAATCCCCATTATCTATATAATATTATAACATTGGTCCTCCACTTGATGTCAAACTCGTATCTTAGAGGAGATCCCAAAAGAAGCAACTATTGAATCTCAGAAGTAGAAACAACTTTGACACCTTGGTAAATATTTTTTCTTACCCTCCCACAACCTGAACAAAAAAGTCAGCAAGTTCTGATACCATACAAGGTAGTAGAAACAAAATCTGTTTCAACAGGTCTTTTCCCCCCTTTTATTTTATTCACATTTAAATATATTGGTTCATAAGAGACAAAGTCAGCAAAGTTACAGTAATATTCATTCATTGTGTCATTGCTCCACTCACACATTCTATTGTAAAGGTCCAGCAATCTATGTAGCATTGCCTCTGGAGTACAGGATAAGGGCAACAATAAGTCCGTATAGACCCAGCACTTCAGCAAAAATAAGGATCAGGATCATACCAACATATAGCCTAGGTTGCTGTGCTGTTCCTCTTACACCTGCATCACCGACTATGCCGATAGCAAAGCCAGCAGCCAATCCACTAAGTCCTACACTAAGACCTGCTCCCAAGTGAGCGAAGCTCCTGAAATTTCAAATGGAAGAGTGTAGATAGCACTAAAATTTTGTATAAATCCAGTTACATCAGTCGAAGTTTACCAACTGTCAAGTAACCTTTTTAGAAATCAAATTATCAAATAGTAAATATTGGTTGAACATAGGTCATCAAAAACAAATTTTGCCTTTATTCTGATCAATAAGAAATCACCCTTTTTACCTTTATCTAAGAAATATACTAGGGCGACTCCATAAATATGTATTTTGTCTAGCTCTAGAAGCTGACCTGTACTGGTTTCATTAATTAAGACATTTACATAGCAATTACTCCATGCTGAGTATGAGACTAACTAAGGCCATCAACAAAAATATTTACTCTGTTGAAGAAAAATTTGGACTAAGACTTAAAGAGCGTATTCAGAACAGCAGACTAACAGATCTGCATTCAAATATGGCCAACTCACTCGAATACTTGTTGTGTAATCCCCATGAGGAATCTGTTCTGTGTCTACTCAGAATTTAAGTGGTAGGCTTTTTAGCGGGTCACCATATTTGATCCGCGGATATATAAATCTGCTGTACTGAATGCACTTTAAGGCTATCAACAGAACTTTGCTTACGCTGTTAAGGTATAATTTGGACTGATGTCTTGAGCAATCAGCAAAGCCACCACCAGGCCGTAGATAGCCACGATACCAGCCATGACCACTGGCAAGATGGACTTCATGATCAGCTCTGGCCTCATGACTGACATGGCTGCAATGCCTGTACCAGATTTAGCAGTGCCATAGGCTGCTCCAAAAGCTGAAAAATATAATATATAGGACGAAATGAAATACATGAAATAAATATTCAGTACTTACTACTGATGTGGATGTAATACCTTGCAACACCATAGAGTGACTAAAAACAAGCTGAAAATCACTGGTGAAATTTAAAGCAAGTTGTAAATAAAACCTGGAACACATTAATACATGACAACAACTGATACATGAGCTTGCATGACTGGAACCCACAAGCCAAACAGGACAGCACCAGAGGCTGCTCCAAAAACTGGAAAATATAATACAGTGTATATACATCTTTAATGCATATATATATATATATATATATATATATATATATATATATATATATATATGTGAAACAGAAATGTACATGACTTGTTCAAAAGATATGGAAATACTCAGTAATGGCAATGTGTACTGACATTACAGCATTTCTATATAAAAAGCATGTTGCAGATGAAATGAAGTGTTTGAAAAAGGTGCAATACCAGCATCAGGCTGCTCTCAAAGGTGAAAATATAAAACATGCTTCAGCCATTATCAGGTTTGTGAACTTTTACTATTGTATGTAATACTAGTGCTTTCATCATCTGTCTGTGAAATGATGATGTGTTGATGCTTTACTTAAAATGTTGGCCTTCAGTATGGGCACATTCAGAGCAGGTCTAGCTTGTGACACGCGTCCGGTCAGATTTGGGATCCTGTCTGTGTGGTAATGTTAGTTGGAATACTTCTGGTTACAATTAGGTGGTGCTATGAGTCCTGCACGCAATCAAATATTATCAGATGGTTTAATGTACTACATAGATTATTAGTGATAGTGGATTGTAAAAGATATAAAACCATGTACATTGCCTAATAAAAAATTTAAAAACCTACGAAAACAACACACTTCAGAAGTCTTTATACTATTAAGTTCTTTTCCATACTACATCAAGTCTTAGAAAAACACAACCTTTCATACACAAATGGTAAGGAATCAATAGAATACTACCAATGCAACACTCCCCTTAGTTAACAAGTCACATGGAAGGAAAGTCACTATAATTATTGAAATTCCAAGCTAAAGCAAACACACAGGCACCAAATCTCCTACATGTCTATATTGGCGTTTTGTGGGCAGTGTGCTCAGATATGGAGAGTCCTGTCATTCAGCAGAATATGCAGTACCAAAGTGGTTACTTGTAATTATTGATCTAGTTCATAGCAAGGACCTAGGAAAATCAATAGCCTGCTTATTACTGCGCTGCATAATCTGGTTCTCAAGTATACTATAGCTCCATGACATAAAGCGCTTATATTCCAACAAAATGACATGGAATTTATTGATAGCTTTTCATTCTGCAGTGGGAATATAATAAAATGCAGGAATTCCAGGATATTTTTATAATAAGGCTTTCAAGAACACTTAAATCTAAACCAATCTATTTTGTTCTTTTGTGAAACACCTACACAAATCAGGAAATGATGCTTTCATCCTGCAATACATACTTCATCAACCTGACACTAATTTCAAATTCTGCCCCACTAACAAAATGAAATTTGCACATGAATTTACGTGAATTACTTCTTTCATGGTGAAAACAGTTGGAATTTCCGGGTGTGGTGAGATTGAAGTTTCCATACTGATAAGGACCTTATCATGCCTTAGACTTTTAAAAAAAGTTAAACCACCAGGTCATCAGACAATATCAGTAAGTTTATTGCTGGTTTATGTTGGTCCTGATGTAGAGACAATATAAAGTCAATTTTCATAGACCTGGCCTTTTAAAAATTGATTTCAAATCATGGACACCTCCCTTCCTGTTCCATCTGACACCCTCACTCTCTCTATCATGTTACTATATCCAGAAGATAAGTTATTTTATCAATTATCAATATTCTCACTATCTGCAGGACAATAGACAAGAATTATGATCAATGAGTTGGCACAATGGCTGGAAATGTGTGCAATTTCAAAACTGGAATTGAGAACTGTTATCAAAATTTCCACTGAGACCCCACCAATTTTTAACGTTTTGAATAAATAATAAAATATATACAATATAACTGTATATATTTTAATGTTTTCACATATGAAAAGTCATGTCAAAAAAAAAAAAGAAAAAAAAAAAATTCGACACCAATCATTCCACCATTAAGCAAAAATAAATAAATAAAAAGAAAAATTCTTAGAAATTAGTTAAACTATCCTTATACCAGTGTACCTGGCCACAGTGTAACACAAACTTAATACATCATCTGTCAATGGAGCTGTTATCACCTTCCCCACAGATCATCACCACATGACCAGTCATGTGGCTCCCTATTACAAAACTGGTCACAGGACTGTCTACATTTGTCACCCATTAGAATTCTGGATCAGTCTTCAATGGGTTTAATTAGTTCCAAATTAATTTTTCTTCTTCTGAATAATTAAACAGTCAAGCTTGAAGCACGGTATGAATTCAAATGTCACTATTAATCAGATGTCTTTCTGTAATATGATGCTAAAAACTTACAGATTAAGTCTATACTATTATCACCAAAGAATTAGTAGAAGCAAAGGCGAATCAATGAAAACAATTCCATTTTACTTAAAATATAATTTTCCTGGTAAGTCCATAACTTCTGAAGTTCATCAATGATTGCATGTCATTTTCTTTCCCTAATGTGTCAGCAGAGGTGGACGGGTCTACAAGAACACAATTTATAACCTAGTGTGCTCCTAGCATAGTAAACTTGTGGATGACCCCAGGCCTAAGGGACGAGGAACAAACCACCCTTTTTGCAATTCATACTGATTTATTAACTCTACAGGCAGCCTTGACACGACAAGATTAAACACTTTTGCTGGGAGCCACCAAAGATGCTTCTTACAATGGAAATGTTAATGTAAAAAGATAGTCACCAAAAGTTAATTTGTTTTTCAAGCAATTAAAAAAGAGATTGATAGTAATACAGACTTACAAATAAAACATCTAATTTACAAATCCACTGATCAGAAAAATTATTTCAATACTTTTTTAAACATAAAACTGCTATAAATACATAAAATATAATAATAAGGGATTTAAATTTTGCTGTTGGGGTTAGACATAGCGCTAGGAGTAAAAAGCATCAATCATACACAAAATAACATTTATAATAAATTTTAAACATCAAACAAGAGCAATGTGTTCAAAACTTCATTCTCCTTTTAACTATAAATTACAAATCCATAAAATATTTTTGCTTTTGTCTTCCTTCCTTTCCTTCTTGCAAGAAGACTTTCAAATGACAGAAAGTGATGCTTGAAATGCACATGTTGTATATCTATAAACTTTTTAGCAAAATCCAGTAGATGGTTCCTTTAAGTTTGGGATTGCAAGGGTCTTTTCTCACAGAGTGATATATTCAAGCAATACAATCTATGTTTATACCCTTCGTAAAGTCCTTACATGTAATTATGCTACATGGGTGTTTACTCCTTTCAAAGGTTTTCCACAAAACTAGTGCTGTTTCGTTAAGTTATACGATTTGCCATGCCGAGTGCAGAGCTGACTTTCAGTACTGACCAGTCTTTTTTGTTGTCCATTTCTCAATGTGTATGGGAACAGACTGTATTGCTGAAGTATACCACTATGGAAAAAGGGTCAAAGCATCAACTGGAAGCACTCTCCAAATCGAAAAATTGTCTGAAGATCATTTGTCTGACTGTAACTCAAAACTGATTTTTTTTAAACTAAAAGCAACCTTTCAATACTTATTGAACGTAAACTATGTTTCTTCAATTCATTAGCATTCTAAGCACAAATAGTTGGTAAAAAAGCTCGATGACAGCAGTAATGATTTGGGACTTTGTACAATCAGCCCGTAATAAAATCTTATCACCATGTAAAGCATGACATTCAGCAAAACGTTGTCTACATTTCAAATACCATAATGAATTAATTTTATCGCATCGTTTCTTAATGTCGATCTATTAGTATTAACTGACGTCAGTCAATGTCACAAGACTGTGAAGTGGCATTTTATACAAAAATTAACTCAGCCCGATCTCGCATAAAACGTTTCAAGATATCAAAATGAATCAAACGATATATAGATTGTCACATCATGTGTTGAATCAGGAGATGTTTCTTTGAAACAACATAAAAATATGTCATTTCCTAATGTAAAATTATCAATGAATATCTCAATGTCAATGCTGATTAGTCTTCCGGTGAGACCCCCAGTGATAAAAAATGATCAAAAACTGCGAGACAACAATACATACCACTGAAAACCATGGCTGCTGTTACGCCCATGACACCAAAAAACGGCGTGTATATGGGATTTTCTGACATTTTGGATGTTCTTTTAGAATAACGAGAAGACAAGCCGCCCCGATCAGATCTTCCTACAAAATGGCTGGTGCGCTAGTATCATGTGATTCGATCCGATTGTGAGCAGATGTCCTTGACTTTGATTGTAACTTGAATTATAATTGGTCCATGGGTGTTGATTGACCAATAAAAACCTACGGATCAAATGTGCTCACCTTGACCTGACCTTAAGCTTGCCGGCTCCTTAGAACATGCGCTGTGACCTTGTGTATACATTTCCTCCACATGCTTTACAGGAGAGTGTAGTAATGACCGCATGGGATGAGAGCAAAGGATGAAGTTTTCTTATCGTGTATGTATTTGAATGAAACCTGACGTATCTTAAGTGTAATTTGCATTTGCCAGAATGAAGCTGGTTTGGAAATGAGAACTAAGTTTCCGTGAAATTTTTAAAAGCAGCATGCCGTGCCAAGTATTTTTATACTGTTTATACTTACATTATTTGGGAAATTAATTCTGTATCCATCGACTTATTTTGTTTCTGTTAGTTTTCCAACCTGCTTGGGACGGTTTACAGAAAGGGGAACCTGATCTTCAGTCCAGATGGCAACAGTGTGATCAGTCCAGTGGGGAACAGGATCACTGTCTTTGATTTGAAAAAGTGATGATAAAATTATATATAATTCCTTGATTTACATGAATTGACATACTAAGTATATGATTGTCGTATTTTCCTTCTCATGGCCTATGTGTTCCATATTCTTTGCTTATTATCATATGAGTCTGAACGACAGCATTTAATTTGGTTTTCTTTGGTGTTATTTATGTGATCAATACTGGTAGTTGTTGTAAACCAGCGTTTCCATTTCGTATTTGTCATATTTATTGATGGGCAAGATAAGAAACAAATAAGCAAAGTAAAAAAATCTTGGTTGTAAATGTGGTAAACAAACATCAAAACAGCACAAAACTTAAATAATGTATTATAGATGCTGATCCACTGTGATTATTAATTTGAAATTACAATCTAGATGAGGAATTTATTTACTTATCCCCATAATTGCTTTCACACTGTTTAGCAACAAATCAGAAACACTTCCAGTAGAGAGTAGGTTAAATATCACAGCAGCTGCATTGTCCCCTGATGCCAATCTACTTATAGCAGTCAATGAAGGTAAGAATGGTTCAGGTAACTTGAGTTGCATTTTCAGTCTGGAGTGACAAGATGGTGGAATTAAAGTAGTTTTAGAGTCCCAGCATGGTGGTCAAGTGTAAAATGTAAATTTTCTTAAATTGTCATTATTTTCCAAGTGAGGCATAGTAATGGGAGGAAATGCATGATTGATTTAGAGTGAGACATCTGACATAAGGTTTCAGTACAGTTTTATTGTGTTCCAGAGGGAGAAGCCATTCTCATCAGTCTCGTCAGTAAGACAGTGTTACATTCTTACCACTTCCACCGTCCAGTCCACGCCATTAAGTTCAGTCCAGATGGCAGGTAAACACCAACTTTACAAATATTTCATCTTTATGTACAAACCCTCGTTAAAGTTACATATGAAACAAGCTTAGATTCCCTGTAATCCATTTAAACCAGTACTACTAGTTTCTTATACATTATTTATATTTTTTCTAATATCAACATCATGCTGTTTTCTTCTGATGAGTTGTCTTACTATTTGTTTTCATTAAATGGACTTTTATCGATATTCTAAATAAGACTGACCACACGAATGATAAAGTGCTTACAGGACTACGTGTTTAACTTTATTTTATTTATTTTTTTCTAGGAAATTTGCTGTCACAAAGGAAAACAATGTGTTGGTGTTTCATGCTCCCGGGAAAACTATGGAGTTCAATCCATTTGTTTTAGAGCGCACCTTCTTTGGTGCATATGATGAGACAGTGTGTATAGACTGGACCACAAACTCAAAGTAAGCTTTCCACATTATTCAGCCTAATACTGTATGTGTCACTCAGCATGAATAATGAAGCTGAGATCAAATAATTTGTATTTGAATGATATGGCTTTCTCATCCATTCATGTTGTTAATCAGATTTTGACACTCACAAAAGCAGATGTAAATTGCTGTTATTTTCATGATGATCCTGTTATTGAAGATATCAAATATATTTAAATCAAAAATATCTTTTGAAATGAACTTGCTATCAAAAATATCTTCAAAATGAACTTGCATGCCATTCAGTTGAAAATTTTCCACATCAGAACAATCATAACACTTCAAATCTCTTGTAAAAAAGTAATTGAACCTTTAACCAAACTCTTAAACTGAATTATTCTATGGAAGGGAAGGCATAGATACAGAAAAAAACAGAGGGAGGGGGAGGATACTTGGATATGGGGCCATTAAACCTTATATCATTTTTCACTCCCCAGGGCTTTCCTTGTGGGCTCTAAGGATATGAACACCAGAGTGTATGGTGCTGAAAGGTTTGCCAATCTTGTAGTCTACTCGCTTGGAGGACACAGCAATTCTATAGTGGCTGCTTTCTTTGAGGAAGAGTCCCTTGATGTATTCTTTAATTTAGCTAAAAGAGGGGTTTAGACAGGCATTTTGATATAAAGCAATGAGAACAATTGGATCAATAGTTACTAGACAGGTTATTATAATTACTTATTAATCTCACTTTTCTCTTAGTTATAAAGACATAATAAAAGACACAGTTGCTATCTGTCAAGTATTTGCTAATTATGATATGATGCACTAAGTATTTATTGAAGTGGGTGTTTTTGGCTCAAGTTCGTATCTGCCATAGCTTGTTATTTCCTTGACCGATGTCCAGATGATCAGTATCAGTGAGAATGGTCAGCTGTGTGTGTGGGAGTGTGACACTGACCTGGATGGCCTAAGACCCTACCAAGCACCTCCACAAGTAGACAGCTCTTCAGAGGAGGAGGAAATGGAGGAAAGTAAAGGAAAGCAAAAGAAGAAGAAAAAGGGTAAATTTTGATTAACTTTCTTTACTATTTATTATTATTATTATTTTTTTTTTTTGGGGGGGGGGGGGGAGAATAGTATACCAGCTGGATAAGAGAATGAAATTCATAATGTGCTTATTTAAAATGTTTCACTTGGTGCCAAACAGATGGTTATCAAAAGACTTACTTAAGAAATTAAATTAAAAAGGTAATAAATCATATTTTTTATCTGAATATGTGAAATGTTAAAATAAACCTTACTTATTATCAATATAACCTTGGACTATTTTGTTAACCATTTATTTATTTTTCAGAGCAAGAAGTGGCAACTCAAGATGCAGAGAAAACAGAAGACAAGATTTTATATAAACGTCTTGCAAAGTGAGTTGATACCATTTTTATTTATAATATGTTATAATTGAGGCCTTAAGGTACCACAAGATCTGCTTGATTCTAAGGACACTCACCTGGCTTCAAAATGTTTAATTTCTTTCAAAACATGTTTTAGCAAGAGTTAAATTTATCAATAAAATTTTTTAATCCTTCATATCAGGCAACAACTAAAACTTGTCTTTTTTATCATTTAAACTGTGCATGGAGATGAAATTGTGCATGCCAGGTCTTGAACAAGTACAGCACGACTTGTCAGCTTAAAACCTGAAATATGTTTTATTTGATTTCAGACACAATTACAAAGAAGCACGCGGTGAAGGTGCAGCATATGCTAAGTTAACCAGTGCAGCTTATCACAAACGCACACACATTCTGTGCTCAGGATTTGAAGATGGTGCCTTCTTTCTTCATGAGATGCCAGATTTTAATCTGATACACTCTCTGAGGTATGCATGGATCTTGATAAGATAAATTACAGTTGGAAAAATTGCACAGAATTAAAAACAGGTATCAAAAGGTGTTGCTTGTCTGACCATGTTATCTGTCATTTTTCTGAACTTCTTATCTGTATTGTAATTCCAGTATATCTGACCAGAGTATCATCTCTATAGAATTCAACAAGCCTGGGGACTGGATTGCTCTGGGCTGTGCTGGTCTGGGACAGCTGCTTGTGTGGGAATGGCAGAGTGAGTCATATATACTGAAACAACAGGGTCACTTCAACAACATGAGCTGCCTGGCATACTCGCCTGATGGGCAGTATATTGCTACAGGAGGGGATGACGGGAAGGTAAGGGGAGGCTGTGCGCTTAGCTCATTCTGAAAGACATGAGAAATAGACATAAGCATTGAAACTAGATGGGATTATTTTACCCCATTCTGCTTTTAGAAGTAACCTGTAATTGTAGAATTAAAGTATTTTTTGTGTGTGTAACAGAAGTTAAGGTGTTACAGATGAAAAGCTTATAAATTTTGCACCTAAAAAGGTGGTTTGCATATTTTGTACTTCTGATTTATGTTACAGGTTAAGGTCTGGAATACTAGTAGTGGTTTGTGTTTTGTGACATTTAATGAACACCTGGGAGGTATCTCAGGTGTGGCCTTCAGCCAGAGTGGACAAGTAGTGGTCACTGCCTCACTGGACGGGACTGTCAGAGCATTTGACCTTAACAGGTCAGTTAACCAAGAAAATATTATTTCTGTGCTTTTGATTAAAATTGTGGTTTCAGTCAGTCTTATGTCAACTGACAGTCTGGTTTGTATATGTGATGGGGATTCCTATGTCATCTGTTCATATGTGATGGGGATTCCTATATCATCTGTTCATGTTTGAGTTGGACGGTTTCCATTTAAAGTTGGTAATTTTATAGAGAAATTCAATCAATATTTGGTTCTCAGTTTGTTTTTAGAAACTTTTAGCATACTTTGACCTAGTAAAAATCAGTACATAGTGGTTCATTGACATTATTTGACCTCTTTCCCTTAAAATGTTAAATGACTTCTGTTTAAGATGGGCAGCTGATATATTAGTGAACATGTACAGATTTATTCTGGATCAAGATACCCCAAGATTTTCTCCTAAATAAAGATCTTTATAGAGTAATGTTCTGTTCTAAATGCACTGATGATAAATCATAATTTATAAAAAGAAAACTGTTGATTGTAAAACTCTGACCTACCAGCAATGTGTTATACATTTTGTTTCAGATATCGTAACTTCCGCACCTTTACATCACCACGTCCTGTTCAGTTTTCATCCCTGGCCTTGGACTCAAGTGGCGAGATTGTTTGTGCTGGGGGTCTGGACGTGTTTGAGATCTTTGTATGGTCCATGAAGACAGGGAGGCTGTTGGAGGTAATACCATAAATTAATCCTTTTTATTTATGACTGTCAGATAGATTTTTTTTACCCTAGTTAATAAAAATGTTGTTTCAAAATTTAAGATGTACACTGGTTTTTAATTTTGTGATTTTACTGTCCGAAGGCCTTTCAGCTAGTTGTGTTAAATTTAGAAAGATTGCGATATTTAACTGGTTTATATACAAGTGAATTATTATTTGCTGCTTGGGTATGAGGTAACACTAGTGGGCTTGATTTGGTCTTAAAATGCAATTTAAGAACACAAATAGTCTTACATGATCTTAAAACATGAGTAAGACCATTTCTAGTCTGACAGCCAATTAAGTTGTCTCCCCTTACACATTCTCCTATTGTGAACAGAGGTGTCCTCTATTGTGAGAGGAGGTATCCCCCATTGTGAGGGCAGGAAACTGCTTGACCACTTAAGTAGATGTTAGATCATTTTTGATCTTAAAAGCAGATTCAGTCCATTTTAAGACTACTGCTGTAATGATTAAGATCGTGTATGATCACTTGTGAACTTAAATTGCACTTTAAGACCAAATCTAGCCCAGTGTAAATAGATTAACTTTATTCTGATGGGAAAATAATGTCCATGAATTTCTCATAAATTTCAGGTTCTTGCTGGACATGAGGGACCTATTAGCAGTCTTGCCTTTAGTACTGGACATGCCATATTGGCCAGCACATCCTGGGATAAAACTGTAAAATTATGGGATATATTTGAAAGTAAAGGCTCCCGTGAAACAATACTCCTGGGATCAGATGGTGGGTTTACAAGTAAAATTCTTTTTTTGATGCAAACCTAACGCAAACAGAGACACTTGTACTGAAAAGTACGCTTTCTTCTGACTTTTTATTTTTTATTAGTTTATTTGAAGGGTGAAAATCTTCAGTACTGTGTATTAGTCTGATGGATAAAATCCATGCCCCCTCTTTTTCTAGTGCTGGGCTTGGCCTACAGGCCTGATGGTGCTGAATTGGCAGTGTCCACTCTTAATGGTCACATCTCCTTCTGGGATGTCCACTCTGCTGTCCAGACTGGCTCCATAGAGGGCAGGCCTGATCTTGGATACAGTAGGAAAGAACTGGACAAGATTACTGCCAAGAAGTCTGCTGGTGGAAAGTAAGGGAAGAATATGAATTGTTTTAAGGTCTTGAAAATGTTAAGAAAAACTTAGATTAAATTAGTTTGATACAGGGGATATATTTGAGTCTAGATATTAAAACTACAGCTTCTATATAAAGAAGGAGATGGAAACAAAATGGGAATTAAGATATTCTTCGGAAAGTAAAGTGAAAAAATGTACCACAAAAAGTGGAAGTTTTGAAATATGTCTAAGCATGATTCTAAAATTCATAAGCCTCTCTTCTCTTTTTAATTACATCATGAAATTGCTGTAATACTTATATGTAACATTTGATTTAATTGGATATATTGAGACAGTATGGACTCTTCCCAGCAGAAATGGAATTTGTTTTTCAGAGCATTCACCAGCCTTTGTTATACAGCAGATGGACAATGCATTCTGGCTGCTGGACGGTCCAAGAATGTCTGTATCTACTCTGTGGCTGACCAGATTCTGATCAGGAAGTTTGAGATCTCTTGTAATCTGTCTTTTGACGGAATGGAGGTAAGGAACAGAACAATTTTTTTTTTTCATGGTGTTTGTTAGACTTTTTGAGGAATTTACACCATATATGTCCCCAGGAACCATTTTGTGAAATGGTTTATTTATCCTTTACATACTTTAATTTTTATTTTTTCCCAAATAACAAACTATCCCAAATATGTTTGATATCTTGTACACATTACAAAGATATTGATGATTAAGTTTTTCTTATCATAAAAACTGGTAATTTTGTTGGGAGTTTTTTGTAGGTTTTGTAGTTATGGAATTAGTTATCAGAAAATGTCTGTTAGCTGGAAATATTGTCTTGTTTATGTAGGAGTATTTGGACAGAAGAAAGATGACGGAGTGGGGCAGTCTTGCTCTTGTGGATGAGGCGGCAGAAGACGGGAAGACCTCCATAGCGCTACCTGGTGTGAAAAAGGGAGACATGAGCTCAAGGCACTGGAAACCTGAAGTCTTGGTGTCCTGTGTGCGCTTCTCCCCCACTGGTATGATCAAATCCTACATAAGGGATAGTACAATAGTAGGATTGAATTTAGGTCTTTTTTTAATGTTGGATGCAGTTTGATATGATGTAATTTCTTCTTGGTGATTATTTACAAATGGGAGTAAGAAGAAACTGCTTCCATAATACTTTCTTGTGGCTACATTCTTGTCTTTATTAATTTCATTTAAAAAACATTTTGAAATTGGGTGCCACTATGGAACCTTGGGCCAAAGAAGACTTTGCCCATTACGTGGATTTGATTCTTCTACTTTCATATTTTTATGTTAATTTGGTTGAACTAACTAAGATTTGGCAGCCATTTTGTGTTGGCCTAACATTATCTTCATACCTCTGTCACAGTGCGGTCTAAATAAGTGGTGTTCAAAGAAACATGGTATTAAGTGTGAGTGCCAATTAAATTGCAGGAAGAGCCTGGGCTGCCACTTCTACAGAAGGGCTTCTCATCTACTCCCTTGACCACAACCTCATCTTTGACCCCTTTGACCTGGAGATGGACATCACCCCAGAGAATGTGAGGCGGACACTGGCCAGGAAAGAGTACACCACATCTCTGATGCTGTCCTTCAGGCTGAATGAACATAGACTGATACAGGAGGTGGTTGAGCAGGTGCCTGTGGGAGACTGTAAGTATCACCGCGAGGGTCAGAGTGTGGATGATGACTCATCAGGTGGGGTCACAATGGGAACATAAAGTTGAATTTCTTGTTCAATCCATTCCAGTTAAGATTGTTAAAACTTATACCCCATTCCCATTGACACCATCGATTTACGCAGATCAGATCAATCCAACTCTGCAATCTGAGTGCAATGACATACCTCCTCTTTAAATTATTGTTTTTCGTTTTTTTCAAGAGCTTATAAAATATGTGGGTATTACCTCCAATATTTCTGTGACTGTCAGTCACCATCATCAGGGAGTAAATGACTAGGGTCATTTCACCTGGAATGAAAATCCAGGTCAATTGCCAGGCCTTGATAAAAAGAAAAACAATAATTTAAATTGATACGTACAGAGCTAATGAAACTGTTCTCTCATACCTCCTCTTGTTTTCAACAGATTCGTAAATCACCAGCTTTTTTGTATTCTACTCAATGCCAGTAGGAGGTGTGTCATTCAGTTCAGCTGATTACACTCAGTGAGAGTTCCTGCAGAGTTGAATCCATCTATGTAGACCGATGGTGTCTTTGGGGCCTTAGCATGCATGCATTTATATATATATATATATATATATATATATATATATATATATATATATATATATAGGAACCCAATTTTACAACATGAGGTCTACCTTGGTAACAGTGTCAGTGGGTGGGTTAACAGAAGGACTGGATGGGTCCCCTATTGTTAATGTTTTTAAATCACCAGAAAACAAAATTTTAAACAAAACGGAATCTTTGAAAGTCACCAGAAAACTATATTGATTGTAGACTCCCTGGTGACATTGGTCTTTTTAATACTTTCTTTTGAATAGCAGTTTAGGTGTGCAGTGATGTCAAAGACACGGCCCAGGTTTATTCAATTTAAATTATTCATGATAATTAATGGGTGATTTAGGTTCCCAGACAGTATGTAAAAGTTGACATTTATGGTAATATGAGATTTTTAACTATTTATTTATACATTGGAAAAAAAAAAAGAAGAGACATTTATCCCAGGATGTCCATTTTAGTAAACATTGATTAAATACCGATTAACTCACATTTGCATTCATAAACCCCATTGCATGTGTTTATTATGTGTTTGTGTCTGTAGGTCTCTGTATTTGCTTGTGTGTATATTTCAGACATTTTGTTCACTGGAAAAAAAAAAAAAAAAAAAAAAAAAACACACAGGAAAAAGATAATCTGCTACATGGTCTTGAAATAATTTGGTTGTTAATATTTTACTTTGCAGTGGATTTTGTATGCCAGAGTTTACCGGATTTGTACATAGAAAAACTACTCGGCTTTGTTGGAGGGATGATGGAAACGTCACGTCATGTCGAGTTTTATCTTCTATGGTGTCAAAAACTGCTGATGCTGAATGGCCCAAAACTGAAGCAGAAATCACAGTCAATACTGGCACTACTGCGGACACTGCAGAAAAATATTACAAAACGAAGTGAAGAGTTAGGAAGCATGTGAGTTCACATTTTCATATCTTCTCTTAGAAGGAAGGTTTTTGCGAGTGTTAATGGAAAAGGGTTTGTCCAGTATTCAGATATCCTACAAAAGGGTTAAAAATGGTAACTAATGGTAAATAATCACATTCCATGTGTAAGTATTGTTATATGAAAAAAAGATCTGCTTTTGTACTATTCCTTTTCTTTTTTCTAATAAGGGTCCTTACCATATTTCCTAATGGAAGAAAGTGAGCACATCTTGGATTAAGAAGTTGAGGAAAATCTTAAATTTGGATGAAATGATTTATGTAAGGACATTTTTTTATGATTTTTAGATGTGATCACAACCAGTACATTCTCCAGTATCTCTTGAACCTGGGACAGGCAAAGAGGAAAAGAGGAGACACAGACCCTGAACATCAAGAAGACACTGAACAGGAAAGTGTGGCAGACGACAGTGACTTAATGCAGTCATCAGACAGTGAGAGTGTAATGACATGACAGAAGGAGGCAGAATTAATTTAAAGCTTCACTCTTGACTGGTTGTTCTCTGTTTCTGAATCGAACTGCAGCATATTTTCAGTGGAACAAAATGGTGAACCTATTTTAAAATGATGGAAGGGTTGATTGTGCCAGAGACTTAATAACAGTTTTTGTGGAAAACTTGGGGATAATATTGTTTATGGCTTACTTATGAGTCATAGTAATACTTGGAAGAAAATAATGTGTAAAAAGAAACTTCATTTCCTGATATTAAGAAAGTGAAAATAGGGCAAACTTGTGAGTCTTTGTAATGCTTGGAAGGAAACCATACATTAACAGATACTATTTATCTGTGAAAACTGCTCCTTAATATATTGCTTTTCATTTCCCGACCTCATGAAAGTAAAACCAGATGGAACATAAATTAGATAACAGCATAAATGTGGTAAAATAAATAAGATTTCAATTGCAAAAATAATGATTTTCATCATTCTTTAGATGTTATCACTTCTAAGTCGGATAAACAATGTTATGTAGCTTTTGCATCATTTTTTTGTTTCTACCTTATTTTCTTGAAATATAATATTCTAGAATACTTTGGTTTTTGAACATTAATGACAAATTGCATTACAAAGTAACCCCCCCCCCCCCCCCCGTATTTGGATAACAAAAAAAATACACCTGTTTTAACATAATTTTAAAACTTAAAATATAAAGCCTATAAAACATAATTTTATAACTGTTTTAAAACTAAAAAAAAAAATTTATTGAAAACCCCTTGTAAGCACCCTAAATTTCAGAATGTTGGCACTAATTTTTTTTAAAGATATACTGAATCTCCATGGAATTTTTTACCCAGTGGTGATGGGATGTGATATCAAAGGAAAAGTATTTTATTTTCAAACGTATGGTACTTTTACAAATGTATTTAACCACAGTGTTTACTGAGGCATGGAGCAGGTGTGAGCTTGGGGAATCAATCATTTAAGTAATGAATAAAAAAAAACAACCTTTAACCTGAGACGAGGATAACACATTTTTTGCTGGGCCTGAGCCACAAACCTGGAGTTAGAAATCTCACACACACTTGATAGTGAATAGGTTGAACCAGGGTCATGGGGGGAGAATTAGACATGATCTTATGATGAATATATGGATATACCCATGATTGAAAAACGCCACAGCTGGTGCTACATGGAATTCATATTGGCCATTTTTTACCTTAAATACTAAAACAATTATCATATATTCTGCTTTCAAAGATGAGAGCCATGATTTTTTTACCATATTGCTGAGCTTAACGAAGTTTTGGTGTGAATGAGCTTTTTTGATACAGATTCTTATGTAGGTAAGTCTTACACCTATAACCAATGGACCAGAAAAAATGCCCCGATCACCTATAATTATTACCAGGATATGCACAATGGAAGTAACAGCTAATAAATAGGTGAGGAGGGAAACATGGTTAGCTGCCAGTGAGAGAAACATTTGGCTGGAATTCAGGGCTTAATAAGCAGGCAAGTATAACACCTTTTACCATTATATTTATCTTTGTAGTAGGGATTGGCCTTATACCAAATCCTGTCTTTGCATGTATTCCCTCCAGTGTCAGGTATTTTGTATCTAGCATTGTTTTCTGATATATTGTGAGCACTTGCATGTAGTTGACCAGTCCAGCTCCCGATGCCTCCTTTTTTACTTCTCGTAAAATTTACATCAGTTCTTAAATGTTTTTTTTTTTTTAGCAATTGAGAATTGACGCTAAATGTATATTCCTGCCCACTCGTTTTGTCAAGCGGGTTCCTGGGGACTGATTAATTCAGAAATCTTTACCATAATGATTTCTTTTTAAAACTTACAATCCAAAGACCGATGTTGTTCAAGGTGAAGAGCATTGCGTAAATTATTTTTAATGGCAGCGCTTTATAATTAGTTATTGCTAACTTCTTTAAATATTTTTAAGTTATCGTACAAAAAATATTTTAGATTCGGATATGTATTACCAATAGACCCACATCTCGATTTATGAACCTTACATGCCGTAGAAACCGAGGCGAACTATTCATCTACCATGATATATCCGATATATGGACTCCCTGCGCTCCTCCTATCTTAGACGCCTCAAACTTTAATGTGTCTGAATCACTCCCTCCCCCACTATGAGGGACGCAAAGGTAAGATCCTCTGTGCGGTCTCCCACCAATTGCGCTGTGCACCCTGATTTTCGGAAGGCAACAGCGTTCCCTTTATAAAGGACATACTGAAGGTCAACTATAAAGGTAAAAGACAAGGTTGCCTGTGCTGACTTTGAGGAGAAACCGTCTGACTCAGAAATTCACCTTTTCTCTTTGTTTTATTTTAAACTTTTCATCGTATACGAAGCCTCCCCCTCTGCTCGTTAAGAAAACACTGGAGTCACCGTCAGAGACGCGTTTGATCGAGTTATGTGTCACTTAATTGAACGTTAAAACAGAAGTCGCTTGTATCGCTTTGTCNCTTGTCAAGCATAAGACTGGTGGCTGTGTCCCTTATTTTGTGTATGTGGGGGTCTATACGAATGCGCTTGCTCCAGCTGGTGGTACAATATTCGGAGGCGGTATCGCCTCTCTGATCCTCTAGTTTACTCTGAGTTAAAACATTTTGAAATTGGGTGCTCAGAAAACTAGCCACCATAAAACCCTAGACCATGAAAGATTTTACAGCTTTTTTTTTTTTAATTCAGTTTGACTAAGATTTGGCAGCCGTTTTAAGTGTTATCCTCAAATAATTTTGATACCTCTGTCTCAATGTGGTCTTAATATGTGGCAATCAAAGAAACTTACTAGTAAGTGTGATTACCAATATTTTTTCCAGGAAGAGCCTGGGCAGCCACATCCACAGAGGGGCTCCTCATCTACTCCCTTGACCACAACCTCATCTTTGACCCCTTTGACCTGGAGATGGACATTACCCCAGAGAATGTGAGGCGGACACTGGCCAGGAAAGAGTACACCACATCTCTGATGCTGGCCTTCAGGCTGAATGAACATAGACTGATACAGGAGGTGGTTGAGCAGGTGCCTGTGGGAGACTGTAAGTATCACCGCGAAGGTCAGAGTGTGGATGATGACTCATCAGGTGGGGTCACAGTGGGAACATAAAGTTGAAATTCTTGTTCAATCCATTCCAGTTAAGATTGTTAAAACTTATACCCCATTCCCATTAACACCATCGATCTACGCAGATCAGATCAATCCAACTCTGCAATCTGAGTGCAATGACATACCTCCTCTTTAAATTATTGTTTTCCCTTTTTTTTCAAGAGCTTATAAAATATGTGGGTATTACCTCCAATATTTCTGTGACTGTCAGTCACCATAATCAGGGAGTAAATGACTAGGGTCATTTCACCTGGAATGAAAATCCAGGTCAATTCCCAGGCCTTGATAAGAAGAAAAACAATAATTTAAATTGATACATACAGAGCTAATGAAACTGTTTTCTCATACCTCCTCTTGTTTTCAACAGATTCGTAAATCACCAGCTTTTCTGTATTCTACTCAATGCCAGTAGGAGGTGTGTCATTCAGTTCAGCTGATTGCACTCAGTGAGAGTCCCTGCAGAGTTGAATCCATCTATGTAGACCGATGGTGTCTTTGGGGCCTTAGCATATATATTGCTTCAGCAGATTGTGGTTATGATTTCTAACCAAAGGAATCCAATCTGACAACATGAGGTCTCCCTTGGTAACAGTGTCAGCTAGTGGGTGGGTCAACAGAAAGACTGGGTGGGTCTCCTATTGTTAAAATCTTTTTAAATCATCAGAAAACAAAATTTTAAACAAACAGAATCTTTGAAAGTCACAGAAAACTATATTGATTGTAGACTCCCTGGTGACATTTGTCTTTTTAATACTTTATTTTGAATAGCAGTTTGAGTGTGCAATGATGTCAAAGACTGTCAAACACTAAGTTTATTATGTGTTTGTGCCTCTTTGTCCCTGTATTTTCTTGTGTGTATATTTCAAACATTTTGTTCACTGAAAAAAAAATACAGGAAAAAGATAATCTGCTACATGGTCTTGAAATAATTTGGTTGTTAATATTTTCCTTTGCAGTGGATTTTGTGTGCCAGAGTTTACCGGATTTGTACATAGAAAAACTACTCGGCTTTGTTGGAGGGATGATGGAAACGTCACGTCATGTCGAGTTTTATCTTCTATGGTGTCAAAAACTGCTGATGCTGAATGGCCCAAAACTGAAGCAGAAATCACAGTCAATACTGGCATTACTGCGGACACTGCAGAAAAATATTACAAAACGAAGTGAAGAGTTAGGAAGCATGTGAGTTCACATTTTCATTTCTTCTCTTAGAAGGAAGGTTTTTGTGAGTGTTAATGGAAAAGGGTTTGTCCAGTATTCAGATATCCTACAAAAGGGTTAAAATGGTAACGTATGGTAAATAATCACATTCCATACGTGAGTATTGGTAAATGAAAAAAAGATCTGCTTTTGTACTATTCCTTTTTTTCTTTTTCCTAATGGAAGAAAGTGAGCTTGCACATCTTGGATTAAAAGGTTGAGGAAAATCTTAAATTTGGATGAAATGATTTATGTAAGGACATTTTTTCATGATTTTTAGATGTGATCACAACCAGTACACTCTCCAGTATCTCCTGAATCTGGGACAGGCAAAGAGGAAAAGAGGAGACATGGACCGTGAACATCAAGAAGACACTGAGCAGGAAAGTGTGGCAGATGACAGTGACTTAATGCAGTCATCAGACAGTGAGAGTGTAATGACGTGACAAAAGGAGGCAGAATTAATTTAAAGCTTCGCTCTTGACTGATTGTTCTCTGTTTCTGAATGGAACTGCAACATATTTTCAGTGGAACAAAATGGTGAACCTATTTTAAAATGATGGAAGGGTTGATTGTGCCACAGACTTAATAACAGTTTTTGTGGAAAACTCGGGGATAATATTGTTTATGGCTTACTTATGAGTCATAGTTATACATGTACTTGGAAGAAAATAATGTGTAAAAAGAAACTTCATTTCCTGATATTAAGAAAGTGAAAATAGGGCTAACTTGTGAGTCTTTGTAATGCTTGGAAGGAAACCATGCATTAACAGATACTATTTATCTGTGAAAACTGCTCCTTAATATATTGCTTTTCATTTCCTGACCTCATGAAAGTAAAACCAGATGGAACATGAATTAGATAACAGCATAAATATGGTAAAATAAATTACATTTCTACTGCAAAAATAATGATTTTCATCATTCTTTAGATGTTATCACTCCTAAGTCGGATAAACAATGTTATGTAGCTTTTGCATCAGCTTTTTGTTTCTACCTTATTTTCTTGAAATATAATATTCTAGAATACTTTGATTTTTGAACGTTAATGACAAAGTAACCCCCTGTATTTGGATAACAAAAAATACACCCGTTTTAACAAAATTTTAAAACTTAAAATATAAAGCTTATAAAACATAATTTTATAACTGTTTTAAAACTAAAAAAAATTTTTTATTGGAAACC